AGGCTGAAATGTTTTGAAAGGTCACAACACAAAATAATTACATCTTAGGCCGTGGGGCCTCTGGTGTACTTCAGAGAAGACAGTAGGTGAGGTACTCCAGAGTATAGCCCTGAGCAGTATGGATGCAGTCACTCTGTGCCACCTGGTGTAGGATTGCTCCCTGAGAGGAATTCTGTAGTAATGTGTCTACAGAGATAAAATTGAGAGTTCCTAAACCAGGAAAGAAACAGAGGAATTTTAAAGGATCCTCAGAAGAATTAGTAAGATCTTAAGATAAAAAATATTTACACTCTATTCAGACAATAAAAGGGATGATGGATGAAAAGCACACCAGTTGGATAAAAGAAGCTCATTCTACTTTTGCCAATTCTTCATTGTAATATGCCTCAACCAGGCCCCAAATAGAGATTTGCTCTACCATAATTCCTGCATTCAGTTACCATTGAAATATATTTATTGCTGGTGGTTAGCAGCCAGCCTTTGAAATGGTGCACTAAGTGCCTCATTTTTATATTATTTAGTTAAAAAAAGTCATAATTTAACTTTGTTTTGCAAGTACTCTGACAGACCAAGGAAGGCTTTCTTTATTTTGCTGTCCAGCGGTTGTATGAGCCCCTTGCAGAACATTTGGCATCCGAACACTTGAGTGTTAAATGCAGCATCCTTTCTTCTTGAGCAGGGTGATGTGCACTGAAGGCTCAGCCCTCCTCCCTTCCCGTATCCCAGATCCTTGGAGAGAGGAGAGGCAGAACAGTTCCTTGAGCCAGCATGAGGCTTTGCTTCAGAGACACTGTAGGAAAGACTGTGCCATTCTGGCAGAAGTGAGGAACAATTATTCTTTCTGTTATTGAACCTTCTCTTCAGGAAAAGACATGGACCAGGGAGATGAAATACTTTGAACTTTATCTGTGTCCAGCAATATGCCACCATCTGGGATATGCCACCAACTATAGGAAGCAACCTATGTGAAAATGGAGAATGTGCTACAAATGTGATGGTCTTTTTCAATAATTTCTGCTTCTCAGAGAGATATGACAATCCTGCACCAGCTGGTGTGTGGCAGGCAGTCTGGCCAGGAATATTGGCAGAAATGTGAAATCTCTTCAGTCCTCTGCGTGGCCTTCTAAGAAGCTGTGTGGAGGTGATGTTGTGTCTGCAGGTAATGATGTTTGGCAACCTGTCTGCCCCAGCCACATAGTCTTGAAGGAAAGGGGATTGCTTTGGGTGGGTTTGGTGGGTGCAATCACTATTTTATTGACTTCTTTCTTAGCAATAGAGGTATAAGGAACTGAAGGATCTGTTGCAGATACAGAAGAAATAGTGTGCATTTACGCTAAACTTTAATTGGAGGCTATTAACATACAGCATTTGACCTGCATAGGAAGAGCAGTGCAAAAGGGAGGAATAGTTTTTTTGCATCCCCTAACTCCCAGGAGAGTACACAAGAGGAATCATGTCAGATTTCTTCTTGGTGCATTTACTCTGCTTACTAGCTTGGAAAGTTGGTTTTTTTTGTTTGTTATACTGGATAATATTGAAATGCTGGGACAGGGAAAAAAAAACCTGAAACTGTTCCATAGGCTGGTATAGTCTTATAACTCTAAATAGTAAAGTAAAAAAAGTATTATGTCTGGCAGTTCTTTTTAGCTGTAATAGACATTTATAGTTACGAGTACAATGGATATTTTTAGCCATCACTTTACCTTCACCTCCATTAATGATAATAAAAAACAGTTCTACAGCCATTCCCTAGTTTTGTTTTAATTGTAGAAATCTTAGTTTAATATGTAAAATTTCATTATAAGATCTTACGGCTCTTGTTCAGAAAGGCTTTTCTTCCTCTTTGTGCAACTAAGTCCTTTGTAGAGTTCATGCATAAACACTTCTGTGTACTTCAAGATTTGTGAATTGATCTTTTGGTTTTTTCTACTACTACTACTATTAATGTTATTATTATTGTTATATCATTTTGTTTTGTTTTACTTAATTTTATTTTTAGCTGCTCATGGTTCTACATGTAAGTACTTCCAAAGTGAGTAAAGTTGCTGAGATGGGTATCTCATTCAGAGAAAGTAAGTAGACTTAATGCATGCATAACTTGATTCAATAATCATGACGCTCTACACTGGCACAGCTTTCCTCGTGCCCTCTTCCTCACCTTCCTTCAACATATACTGTGGCACATCCTGAAAGAGAAGTCTCCCACTACCACTCCCTTGATATTGATATAAAGGCAGCTTCACATCCACCCAGATTCTTCCCTTTCCTCAGTAACCATGAAAACACAACATCCATCTTTTCCTCTCTGACTGTGTCTTTGGACATTAAGCCAGGTAAGAGTATGAGCTATAAATTGAAGTGAATTATACAGCTGGGTAAATAAAGTGGGATGAAAGGGAGAAAAAGGGAAATGTGTTTCCTATCACAGAGTTTAAAAAACAGACTTGGCACACAAGGGGAAAAAACAAAACAGGAAACAAGTTTCTACATATAAATTAAACTTTTTCACCCTCAAACTTTTTAGATAGCTCAGGAGTAATAAGTACGTGTGTTTCTTGGACCAGCAAAGCAAGCATTCCAACACTAAATGGCTTCCTGTTCAACACGTTCAAAGCCAGAGACTGTTTTTGGGGGTTGGTTAGAAATATGTGTGAAGTATGCACTTTTACTTCAGGCCAAATCAAATGTTTTTAATCTCCCTCCCATCCCCCTACCCCCCCAAAAAAAGAAAAAGAAAAAAAGTCAAAAAAGGAAAATGTGACCCAAGTTTTTTCTTTCCCTGAGGAAGTTCAATGATTAGCCTTCAGTTAATGTGCAAATATTCTCACTTCCATGTAAAGATACTTAAAAGGCAACTGGTCAATGTCATTCTACACTGGCATTTGATGCTGTTGAACTATAATGAGTAGGTGCACACAGGAGCAGAAGAACTTGGCCCCATGCAAAGACAGGAAAACAGCAAATATTTTAGGGTGTGAAATGTGTTGCAGCATTTTCCCCCATTAGTGTCAAAGCTATAATTCACAAATTTTTGATCCATTTTCTTCTTCTACCACATCAGCCTCAAATATTTGGTACTACATCTTGTTTGCCCATAGATCTTTAGGTTTTTGGTTGCTTTTTATTTTTTTTTCAGGTTCACAACATTTGATTACATGGCCAAAAGTAAAAGTAAGGCACACATGGGAAAAAAACACGGAGTACCATATGCCATGGATGTGTCAATGTGAGGGGGTTTTCTAGTTCCTCAGTGAAGCCACAGGGTACTTTTTGCAAAAAGAAAAAAAAACAACACAAAAAACCAACAAGCCAGAAAAGTACACCTTTTCTTTTCTCCTTACAGCTGGCAGGCAATAGGTACGTCTAACTAACCTAGACCTCAGTTTGTCCCTTTCTATAATTTCACTAATTACTGCTTCTAGCAACATATTTTCTGCCAGCTCCAAGGAAACAGAAGCCATGTAAGTGGTAGCCAACTATTTTCTTTTAGTATTTTTCTCATTCCAGTGTTTTTGAGCAAACTGAGGTTCTAAACACTGTTCTGTTTCAATATTTGAAGAATGCTATGTACTGAGTACTCTCCAGGCTGGTATGTTGTTGTGAGGCATCAGTCTTGTCTGTTGCTCTCGTCCCACCTTGAATGAACTGAGCTGCATACTTTGTTTTTGCTCTTTCTGCCTGATTTTTACAAAAACCCAACCAGCTAAGAAAACAACAAAACCCCTTTTCCCCCACTGCTAGGTCCTTATGAACATTTAAGTTTGGGTTTTCACTTGAGGAAAATGAGTCCTAGGCAGAGTCTCAAGTCTCACCTAAATCAGTAAAATTCGACTTGTGCTAATTTGCACCAAAATAAGCCAGGGTTTTGTTTAGGCCCTGCCAAATATAGTACTATTTTCAGAGGTTCTGCTGAAGTTAATAAACTTAAATAAATAAATAAACTTAGTAAAGTTAGTGGAAGTTAATAATGCTAGATAGAATTCACTGACGACTCATCCCTGGACCTCTACGTACTTCAACATCATACCATACTTGATATCCAGAGCTATTCCTGGGAGTGGGGAGGGCAGCAGGAGAGACTGGTAAAGAATAAGTTTTCTTCCTTGAAAGTCCAGCTTTCCCAAGAAGAATTGCAAGATTTCAGTTTCTACTGATTCTGTGGCAGCTGCTCAGTGAGGTTCTTCTGCTACCGCCCTGGAGCGCTTGAATTCAATTTCAGTTCAACTCCATTGTCTTCTACCCTTCAGACTCCTTCTTTTCCACAAACCCATTTTCCCATATTCCCAAAATAAAACCACTGTGTTTGTTTGTTATTCTGAACCTTGCAACTTCCTTTCCCTGATCTTCACCATTAACACTTTAGAGTTTCTTTTCTTGTTTCTTCTCATCTTATATAATATTTGTATATACCAGTAATTTTTCTGGTGTGTTAAATCAGCCACTGGCAAACTAATATGAATTTGTAGGAAGGGGAATGGGTTTAAGTATGTCCTATGGAAACTTCAAGGTCCAAACTTTCTGTACAGTCATGTTGGCCAAACTTCAGGCTCACAGCAATAATCAGTATCAACAGATCATAATCCAAGATCATACACTTTGATATAACTAATATGTTTCTTGTAACTCAGCCTGTTCTTCTAAAATTGAAACTCAAACCTTTCATTTGCAACAAGAGAAAAGAAAGATCTGAGAAATATTATGAAGAAGCACACAATTTTTTTGTCTGAGCTGTAACAGTTATTCCTGGGCTGTCCACATACACACTTTTGAGGGAGGACAAAAATGGAGCAAGAAAAAAGATGAAAAAAAAAAAGAAATATAGAGTTGGAGAGAGGCAGAATAAAGGAGAGGAAGGAAGGAAGGAAGGAAGGAAGGAAGGAAGGAAGAAAGAAAGAAAGAAAGAAAGAAAGAAAGAAAGAAAGAAAGAAAGAAAGAAAGAAAGAAAGAAAGAAAGAAAGAAAGAAAGAAAGAAAGAAAGAAAGAAAGAAAGAAAGAAAGAAAGAAAGAAAGAAAGAAAGAAAGAAAGAAAGATGTGGTTGAGAACAGAAAGCCAGCTAAAATTGGAAAAGAAAATGAATGCAAAAAATAATATTTCAGGGAGAATTTATGGTAGTTTAAATCCCTATTTGTTTTGCCAGATAGAGAAATCCTAAGCCTGTTACATGATCTTAAACATCTTTCCAAGTGCTTCAGTGAATCACTGCCATTACCAATATGGGCAGAAATTTACTATATCAGCTTCCCAGACACTGAACACAGTGTTGGCAGAGCTGATAGGTATTAACTCAGTGAGTCAGATAGGGTGTTCTTTTTTTATCTTCAAGGCACACAGGAGCAGCTCCAGCCATGTTGTCCCTGCAGCTGCTGCCGAAAGCTGGCTGGCCAGTGTGATGAGGCTGGAACTGCTGATGACTGGTACGGCAAGACTTGCATGGTAAGTTCAAGCTGTTCCAGAAGGCAATGAGACTATTACTGACATCCTGGAGTAGTTCCCTAAGGTCATGTCAGTCATACTCAGGAATCTAAGAAAACCCTAACAAATAATACTATTGCTATCATTATAATGATACATGGTTTCAGGCATCATTATCTTGGTTGATAATGTTTGTCAGTCTCACAAAGCTCCCTCACTGGAGCTTTGTACCTGTGTCATTATTTACTGTGGAAAATTTCATGTTTAACTTTTTTCTTGCCCAGTCCTAGCATTCACCCCTTTCAGATACAGATGTCTAAACAAAGTTGTTTTGTTTTGTGGAAGCAAAGTCTCTACATTACTCTTTACTTAATGGGAATCTAATTTTTTTGTTGGCAGGAAGGCTTTTGACTATTTTCTGTACTTCTCCTAAAGAAATAGCTATGGTTGAAGATGGTCAGGGTAGAAGACAGTAAAGAGTACACTCTGCGCTCTGTAGAAACACAGCATGAGAGCAACCGGAAGGTGCTTTGAAGCAGTTGCATGTGCTGTGGAGATATTATGTGGTTGACTTCTGCCAAATGGATTCAGTGGATGAAGTAACAGCCAAAGTCTCAAGTTGCTCTTCAGGAGACAGAAGATTTTGTTTTCTCTGATTTTTCCATTATTTTCTGGTTTCAGCATTCCATCATTTGAATCATTTAAGAAGTCTGAATTTCAAAACCAAATACTCACTGAGAAAGTTAGGCAATGCTGACCTATAGCTAGGAAACAGCAGCCATTTCTTCCAGATGAATGCATCACTCTGTGCATAGCTCTCCTTGTACTTTCCCTCAGGCACAGTTGGCCACTGTGGACAAAAAAGAATGCCAGGGAGATGGGTGCATTTACTCCTTGTGAGCAAACCTACCTACCAGAGTGCACCCCATCTCTGCCTCCATACTGCATTACCCTGAAGAAATCTCCTGTGAGTAACCCCAAAGCATCAAACCTACAGGGCTTATTAGCATTTAGTAGAAGGGACTTTGGTCTTTTTTTTTCAACAGTGCTTGGGTTCATCCTGTTGGTCTGTACCATTTTGAACAAGGATATTGAGGACCAAGGGCTGTATTCATTAAGTGATTTGGACAGTCTTATTTATATAGCAATTGCTTTTTCAACAGAGTCACAACCATCACATTTCTGATGAACAACCAGATGGGTACCAATTCACGTCAGGGAGATCAGGGGTGCTGTCCCAGTCTGTCTTAATACAAGTTTCCAGCTATTTCCAGCTTACAAAAATTCCAGGGTCTTTTGCAACTCACCAGATTAAAGGCTGCAAGTCTTGACAGTGCGACTTCAGGTTTCCTTGAGTGCTATACTGCAAGAACAGCCAGCAGGAAGTCAGCAACAGACTAACAGGAAATAAATTGCAACTCCCACAGGAATTTCTTTCCTAGTCTGCTTGGATTACTGATGCACTAGTGTAGCTTTAAAAAGCTGTTGCTTGACTGGTATCCACTGGTAGATGTCAAGGTTCTGGGTGCAAGGACTGCTCCATCTGCACCTGACGGTGCTCTTCTGCCTGCAGTGCTCCTCTTCCCCTTAGTGTCTTGATGGGAGATTGAACCAAATTTGAGTGCAATGCCAATCTAGGTGGTTGATTGTAAGTGATACTTACTCTTTATTAGCAGCAAAGCCTTTTCAGGACCCATACACATTGTAAACTAGCAAGTCTCCCTGTCTAGGTGGTTGATTGTAAGTGATACTCTTTATTAGAAGCAAAGCCTTTTCAGGACCCATACACATTGTAAACTAGCAAGTCTCCCTTACTTCCTGGCTCTCAGTCAGTATGTACACATACACACACACACACACACATGTGAATGAGCCCAAATTGATCAAATTAATTTCGGGAGTGCCCAAACGTCACTGAGTGTGCTGGAAGATGGCATCAATGCAAGGCTGGTACCATGACTGTTACTACATTTGAATGCTGCCATCACTAAAGAAATGCTCTAACCTGGTAATTCAGGAATGGGAACTAAACCATTTTAGCCAGCTTGTTATCAAGACACCGTGTATTCACTGTAGACTAGCTCATCAGCATCTTGTCACAAAACAGGGACTGGAGATTTGCTCTTTCTTAGTGGTGCTTGATAGTCCATGATTCCTTCTGAACCATATAGAGCAGTGCTGTCAAAAGACATCAAAGGTGGGAAGATGCAAACAGGAGCAAGTAAGAGGGAAAAAGCCCCCAGAAGTTGACCCTTTGGTTATACTGGGTGTCCTTTTCCTTTTCTTTTTGTGCATTTAGAAAGTGGCCATTTTGCAAATAGATTAAAATACATGCACAAGAGCTGGGAACATCTTGTACACAGATGTGAGTCAGTACTTGGCAGGTGGCTAACGGGAGTCAGATTTCCCAGACAATAATTACATTTTCAAAATAAGAATTAAAGAGACAAGAAAAAAGGACTTATTCCCATTAGCTGAGAGTGTGAGCTCTGAAGTGAAATTATCCTTTCTTTCCACATAATTTATTCTACATCACTTCAGAGGTTGCCTGCATAAAACATCCAGGAATGATAAGCTGAATCTTTCAAGGACTTCATTTTCTAAATGGGTACAGGTTAAATGACTACTTGTTTTGCTCCTCCAAGCTGTCCAGCCATTTCTGATCTAAAAACTGTAAAGACATGACAACAATATAATATAGTGTTCAAAAATGTCACAATAGGACCCAACTATCAGTGTAGTTAGTCAAGGAGAACTGCATGTGGCACACCATTTGTTTTATTGTTACTGTGGATCAGAAAAACTTTTCCATAGCAAGACTTTCCATATCAAATTGAGGACTATGAATTCAAGCACGTCTGCCACTTCTGTGGAAAACAACATCCAGCATCTTCTTAGCCTTGCAGGATCATGACTTGGGCTTACAGTGCATTTCCCAATTTCATCATAAAGAGACAAATGTGGCCAAAACCACAGAGTTGTAGGTGGGTTGTGATTCTGTTCATTGCAATTTGACTTTTAATTGCTATCAATTTTAATATTTGGTTATTCTGTCAGAGTCAGTTTTATTAATATGTCTGAAAACTCTCTTTTCAAAATCAGTTCTTGAGAAGATGCTTGCCTTTGGTAGAAAATCTGCCTGTCTGTCTGCCTGTCTACATGCCTATCTCTTTATCTACTATCCTACACATTGATAGCTATGGAAAAGTAGAATGCCAGTAGTCAGAATAAATTAGTTTTGGGGCAGAAGTATACTTGAAAGTTTGTGTTCAAATTTCCTGATGTAATGGCACGCTCTGGTTGTTGTAATGAAACAGATCTCCTCTCCAGGTAGGGAGATTTTGTTGTGCCCTGGAAAATGTGTTTAACCAGAGAACTCTGCCTAAAGAGGGAATTAAGAGCATAAAGTCCCTCCAGCATGCTGGTATTATGTTGCCATATTTTCAGTGGAGTATTATAATATTTAATATTTTTGTTAATTTGTCACCAAATTTTCTGTCAAAAAATTTTCGCTTTCTTCTTCAACCCCAGTTGTCAAGGCAGCTCTAGGTACTTTTCCTGTTTTTTTGTTTGCTCTAATGCAGGATAAGGGGTAGGCCATGGAAAAGTGTGGTCATTATAGTGCTGGATTTTCTCAGAAGCTGCATCTGAGAAAGTGTGAGCCACAGGAACAATATTAGGCTACACATCCTTCACAGGATTTTTTAAGCTTCTAGCTGCAGTTTGTCCAGGATGTTATAATATTTTTCTGTAATATTGTCCTTTAACATGCATATATCAGTCCAAAGAAAGATGAGTGAGTAGAAACTACATCTTGATGAGAGCCAGATATCACCACAAAACCAGTGGGGTGTAATGCTTTCCAAGTCACAGAAGTGCCCTACCATGAGATGGGTCAATAGCTCAGAACAGGATATATTTTTATTCATTTTAATAGGAGAAAAGGGGATTTAGTGAGACAGAAAGTGCAGAAACTAGCAGACAGATTGTATAAAACCAAAACAAAACAAACTTGTAAAAGTACTTTGCTGGGAAAAATGAGATTAAATATTGCCTGCCATGTGTTATGGTACTTGAAGACTAAAGCAAAGAAATTTTTTTGTATCCTCAGCTTCCTTTTTCTAAGCAAATTCCTGGGGATACTTACCACACTACAACTTCCAGTTGTTTCCCATGACTGAAAGCTTCCAGGTTACCCACCCACTGTTAAAGGAAGTGCTTGTCTTGGCAGAAACATCCCTGTCAGTCCAGTCCTGACTGGGGCCAATGGGAAACTTCTGGTTGTCCAAAATACAGCTGGGCTGAGTTCTAAGCTAACTTCCTGAGGCTCATGAAGATGTGGAAATTCTCAAGCACAAACTTGTTTTTGGAGTCATTGTGTGCATGACAGATATGATAAAAAACAAATTTGGGCTGCAGCTTGGACATACCCAAGGAAAAGGGGCAGCCCTTCTACATCTGGTCCTCAAGGCTCCTCATGTGGTCTGTGAGAACAGCTTCCTGAGGTGGTGACTTCATCCTGCCCAGGGAAAATACACCCAGGGTTCACTGGTAGCCTGTGGAAAGATTCCAGAATCACAGATTGGGTCAGGTGGAAGTGGGCCATCTTGTCCAGCTTCCCTGCTCAGTCAGGGTCATGCTGCAGCACACAACACAGAATTGTGTCCAGGAAGTTCTTGAATATTTCCAGTGGGAGAGACTCCACTCACAAGAGAGATGTTCCAGTCCTTGTTGGCCTCTGCTGGACCAGCTCCACGGGCTCCATGTCTCTCTTGCACTGAGGAGCCTACAACTGGACACTCCAGGTGTGGCCTCACCAGGGCTGACTATAGGGGCAGGATCCCCTCCCTTGTCCTGCTGGCAGTGGTTTTCCTAATGCATCCTAAGGTTCTGTTGGCCTTCTTGGCCACAAGGGCACACTGCTGGCTCATGGACACTCCTTCACCACTGCTGCTTTCCAGCAGGTTGGCCCCCAGCACTGAGACCAACTTGGCAGTGAGGGTCTGTTTCTTATTTGCTTT